TGTATTGTCGGATACCGCCTTCCCTGTCAAGTGTGAAGCCTCTATGGGACATGACTTCTGTATCGTTGGATATCGCCTCCCCTGTCGAGTGTGAAGCCTCTATGGGACATGACTTCTGTATCGTTGGATATCGCCTTCCCTGTCGAGTGTGAAGCCTCTATGGAACATGACTTCTGTATTGTCGGATATCGCCTTCCCTGTCGAGTGTGAAGCCTCTATGGGACATGACTTCTGTATCGTTGGATATCGCCTTCCCTGTCGAGTGTGGGGCCTCTATGGGACATGACTTCTGTATCGTTGGATATCGCCTCCCCTGTCGAGTGTGGTGCCTCTATGGGACATGACTTCTGTATCGTTGGATACCGCCTTCCCTGTCGAGTGTTGGGCCTCTATGGGACATGACTTCTGTATCGTTGGATACCGCCATCCCTGTCGAGTGTGGGGCCTCTATGGGACATGACTTCTGTATCGTTGGATACCGCCTCCCCTGTCGAGTGTGGGGCCTCTATGGGACATGACTTCTGTATCGTTGGATATCGCCTCCCCTGTCGAGTGTGAAGCCTCTATGGGACATGACTTCTGTATCGTTGGATATCGCCTTCCCTGTCGAGTGTGAAGCCTCTATGGGACATGACTTCTGTATCGTTGGATATCGCCTCCCCTGTCGAGTGTGGGGCCTCTATGGGACATGACTTCTGTATCGTTGGATATCGCCTCCCCTGTCGAGTGTTGGGCCTCTATGGGACATGACTTCTGTATCGTTGGATATCGCCTCCCCTGTCGAGTGTGAAGCCTCTATGGGACATGACCTCTGTATCGTTGGATACCGCCTTCCCTGTCGAGTGTGAAGCCTCTATGGGACATGACTTCTGTATCGTTGGATATCGCCTCCCTTGTCGAGTGTGAAGCCTCCATGGGACATGACCTCTGTATCGTTGGATACCGCCTTCCCTGTCGAGTGTGGGGCCTCTATGAGACATGACTTCTGTATCGTTGTATATCGCCTTCCCTGTCGAGTGTGAAGCCTCTATGGGACATGACTTCTGTATCGTTGGATATCGCCTTAGCCGTAGATTGTTAGGCTACGTACATCTCCACGGATTTCGTTTAAAAGGATTTTTACTTATGTTAACAACAGGTAGCGAATACTGCTGCATGAATCATATTACAGTTTTGAAAGGAACAAAGGAGTGTCGAGTTTATTTCCAGACGTGGTGTGTTTTTGTTACATGAATAGGTTAAAGTTTGAGTCAGGTCTTGTCGGTTCACAACACTCTCTTTCAGGTAAAACTATGACTGTGAAAATTAATATTGAGATGTTATCATGAGATAAGAATTCTTTTAATAAAAAGTAAACTTGATGGTGTAGCATAAACTACCTCAGTAAGTAAACAAGACCTGGGACAAAACAATTCATTAAAATTGTCGTGAAAATGTCAATTTTTTAATTTTTTTTTCTGTCTAGAAATGTCTCCAACAGCTGTTTAGGCACATAGACCGAACAAACATCTGAGATTAAAAACAGTCGTCCATACTATAGCGGTATTCCTTGACCTAGAAAATGCTCACGACCTTATTTGGCACGAGGGTCTGTTATTATCACTTAAAGCAGTAGGATTAACAGGAAACATGTTACGATTCACCATCCACTTTCTAAAAGATCGTAAAATTCAAGTATGAGTTAGCAAGTCCAAGTTAGATGATTTTACATTAGACAATGGTGTCCCCTAATCTAGTGTTGTATCGCCAACACTTTTCAATATTTATATCAATGTCTTATACCTCTTTTTAAAAGGAAAAAAGTAAATAGGTACAAAATAGCTAACATACGTCAGTTTGTGGACGACACCATAGTATAGCATAGTAGTAAACAGATTCAACAAAACGCAAAAGTCATGCAAAACACCTTAGACGGTAAGCTGTCCCTTGCCTACACTGGCGTAGTGTGGTACCGGAGATCTGTACCGGACTACACTGGCGTAGTGTGGTACCGGAGATCTGTCCCGGCCTACACTGGCGTAGTGTGGTACCGGAGAGCTGCCCCGGCCTACACTGGCGTAGTGTGGTACCGGAGATCTGTCCCGGCCTACACTGGCGTAGTGTGGTACCGGAGATCTGTCCCGGCCTACACTGGCGTAGTGTGGTACCGGAGATCTGTCCCGGCCTATACTGGCGTAATGTGGTACCGGAGATCTGTCCCGGCCTATACTGGCGTAATGTGGTACCGGAGATCTGTCCCTGGCCTACACTGGGGTAGTGTGGTACCGGAGATCTGTCCCGGCCTACACTGGCGTAGTGTGGTACCGGAGATCTATCCCGGCCTACACTGGCGTAGTGTGGTACCGGAGATCTGTTCCGGCCTATACTGGCGTAGTGTGGTACCGGAGGTCTGTCCCTGGCCTACACTGGGGTAGTGTGGTACCGGAGATCTGTCCCGGCCTACACTGGCGTAGTGTGGTACCGGAGATCTGTCCCGGCCTACACTGGCGTAGTGTGGTACCGGAGATCTGTCCCGGCCTACACTGGCGTAGTGTGGTGAGAACTGTCCCGGCCTACACTGGCGTAATGTGGTACCGGAGATCAGTCCCGGCCTACACTGGCGTAGTGTGGTACCGGAGATCAGTCCCGGCCTACACTGGCGTAATGTGGTACCGGAGATCAGTCCCGGCCTATACTGGCGTAGTGTGGTATCGGAGAGCTGTCCCGGCCTACACTGGCGTAGTGTGGTACCGGAGAGCTGCCCCGGCCTACACTGGCGTAGTGTGGTACCGGAGATCAGTCCCGGCCTACACTGGCGTACTGTGGTACCGGAGAGCTGTCCCGGCCTACACTGGCGTAGTGTGGTACCGGAGAGCTGTCCCGGCCTACACTGGCGTAATGTGGTACCGGAGATCAGTCCCGGCCTATACTGGCGTAGTGTGGTATCGGAGAGCTGTCCCGGCCTACACTGGCGTAGTGTGGTATCGGAGATCAGTCCCGGCCTACACTTGCGTAGTGTGGTACCGGAGAGCTGTCCCGGCCTACACTGGCGTAGTGTGGTACTTAGAAATTGATAAATATTTCGATAAATACATGGAAAATGTGTATTTCACCTCTGAGAAACTTGAGGTATATGATAACATCTAAATGCTAAACACGCAGTATGATATATACCAGACATGGTTTGGAGCTGATTAACACAAACTCTGCTAGACGTCCGATCTCTGTTTACCTGATGTCGCTGTAATTTACGTATATTGTACGTATAAAGAGACAAACATATTTCACGCGTCTGAAAGGTTAACGTTATGTTCCGAAAGCAGTGGGGATAGGATTGCTTTGAAAATGACGTGAACGAAAATACAGGTTGTATGGGGATGCACCAGATGTTTATAGTGAGATATGTACATTTGCATCACAATGTAACGATATAACATAACATGAATTAGTATATATTGTGAATTAAGGTTAATCCAGCGCGTGCCCATTATGACGTCAGTATCATCGGTACAGGGACAGTTAGGTTTGCCGTCAAAATGACCGTTCATCTTGACGAATCACATTGTTGATGATGAGTGATTTGTTTTACTTAATGTTATCGATATAAGACAGCAAGATGTGTATGGAATGTAAACATAAATTTTAAAATGTCCAAGTACAGCATTTGCAGAAGTACTAAATGACGAACATAACAGGCAAAATATCGCTAATCAATACCACAGGGAGACGAATCGAGTCGATGTAATGGAAAACAGGGAAATATCAACCTATTAAAATAATTATAATCTAAACTCAAATTCGCTACAACTAGGGCGAAATATGAACAAAAGAAAGATTTACAAGGAGACGCCGGAAAAAAGGACAAAGAGAAGAAAATGTGTTCCGAAAAAGTAAGCGTATTCTACTTCATTGACGACACACGCCATGGTCAATCCAACCAAGTTATGTCAGAGAATGATCAGCTATTTATATAAAATAGTAGAATGCTCAAAAATAAGTTGCTATTTACTATCGTAATATGTCACGGCATCTAATGATGCTATTAACTGACAAGTCACTGTATCTAATGATGCTATTAACTGACAAGACATGGTATCTAATGATGCTATTTACTGACAAGTCACTGTATCTAATGATGCTATTTAGTGACAAGTCACTGTATCTAATGATGCTATTAACTGACAAGACATGGTATCTAATGATGCTATTAACTGACAAGACATGGTATCTAATGATGCTATTAACTGACAAGTCACTGTATCTACTGATGCTATTTACTGACAAGACATGGTATCTAATGATGCTATTAACTGACAAGACATGGTATCTAATGATGCTATTAACTGACAAGTCACTGTATCTACTGATGCTATTAACTGACAAGACATGGTATCTAATGATGCTATTTACTGACAAGACATGGTATCTAATGATGCTATTAACTGACAAGACATGGTATCTAATGATGCTATTAACTGACAAGTCACTGTATCTACTGATGCTATTTACTGACAAGACATGGTATCTAATGATGCTATTAACTGACAAGTCACTGTATCTACTGATGCTATTTACTGACAAGACATGGTATCTAATGATGCTATTAACTGACAAGTCACTGTATCTAATGATGCTATTTACTGACAAGTCACTGTATCTAATGATGCTATTTACTGACAAGACATGGTATCTAATGATGCTATTTACTGACAAGACATGGTATCTAATGATGCTATTAACTGACAAGTCACTGTATCTACTGATGCTATTTACTGACAAGTCACTGTATCTAATGATGCTATTTACTGACACATAACAAACTCGCCCAAGTAAGAAAAGTAACACAGAAATTCCTATATGTCTTAGTACAAGAGAGTCGCACCATAACAGTGAAACAGAAAGATAAGCTGTCCCAAGAAAGTTGCATTGGCAGAACGACTCGGGTTAAGTAACACTGATCTGCAAATTCGACGCCATATAGCAAACACCAAACGACTTACTCGCCAACAGCAGTCACATACCTTGATATCTTCGGGAGATTGGTCTTTTTTTAAGACATCTAGAATGAAATGCTGGAGATCATCAAGGGTGAAGCCGGAATCGTCACTGGCATCATTGGGGACACGACATCGCATAATGTCTTTGTATACATAATGCCATTTTGACTCCGAATTTTTCTTATAAACCTCCATGGTGAATGATGAGACGCACTGCACAACAGTCCGAAACCTGTGTGACTAGCTGGCGGTGTATTGGGTCGTCTAAAGCCTTACACGGCCTTGCTAGTTTCCGGATGTTAGAGTTTTACTTCTATTTCTACATGAGTGAACACAGGTAAAGGGATGAATCATCACATTACATATTGGCTGGGTCTATTACATTGTTACATATTTGTTACATCTCATAGCACATTTCAAGTGGGTAGGGTTGTGGGCTTGCTGACTTTGCAATATAATAAAGGTACTATCATTTATCATTATCAGTGCGTAGGAAGTTGTGAAAAAGTGAGGGGCTACCCCCCCCCCTGGGGAAATCCCCCCCACTCCTCCCCCACCCCTTTACTACGCCACTGGAATGAACCAGACGATGACAAAAAGTGGCCTCCCTTTTATTTAGCTGCTTTAATTTTTAATTGTATACGCCGTTTCGGTCTGGTGATTCTGACAAGGTAAACAGCTACTGAAAGCGATGACAATCATAAATATGTTCCAAACGGTACCTGATATATACCTATACTGTGTGTGTATGTGTGTGGTCAGCCTTGAACTCCTCACATAACTATGGCCAGCAGCCTTTTTGATATTTGTCTTCATTTGATTGTAGTCCGCCTTCTACTTATTTTTCAGTGTTCAGTTTTCTTCTGAAAGTTGTTTGGTCACAGGATGTTGGACGGTCAATCTCTTTACTGAAACACGTGTGGTATGTTAAAGTTTGATTACTGAATGTTGTATGGTCAGTGTTTATTTTCATTTAGGATCGGTTGGTCAGTTTTCTTAATGAAGAACGTACTGACCTCTTGAAGTGGTCAATCTCCTTACTACCACGGATTTAGATCTATATCTAAGTAAAGATAGAACGGTCAGTTTCGCTACCGACTTGAGGTGACCAATCTCCTTACTAAAAATCGATGGATCAGTTTCCTCTGTGAAGGCCATGTGGTCATTCGCAGTGGTCAATCTGTTTACTGAAGACAGTGTACCTGTGGTCTGTCTTGTCAATGAAGTACACAACAGTTTCACTTTTTTTTTCAATATAGTTTCAAATTCAACTTCATGTCCCAGCCCACGCAAAAGCTTCACAGCTAATGTATCATACAAAAACAATACTCTTATTTACCTGATGGAAAACAGGTGACGTGTGGTGTATATGTGTTGAATAAATGTACTGTGGTAAAGAAGACTTTATAAAGATATCTTACCAAACAGTAGGATCAATAGTTTGAAATGTAATTGATCATCAGGGTAATTAAGACTACCTTAATTTTTGTAAGATTGCTGAATTCCAGAGTCGTTTACAAAATTAGAATCTGTCTCCAGAATTCCCGGTATATTGAAGTTTATCGGAGGTAATTCATATACCAACGAAAATTTGAAATTATACAGTTGTAATGTGCGTCTACAATACACTTCAGTTTGAGACTTTAGATTTTGATCTGGTCACGATATACCGTCTCTGACTGTTGGTTGGTATTATCATAATGGTTACCTGTGTTACATGTTCAATAACACCTCGACACTTTAAATTCCTTCTCTGGAATTTTAGAAAAGAAACAAACAAAAAAATCACGTGACTTAAAAAATCAACGAAATCACGTGACCGGTGTGTGTAAATTGAGAAGCAGGCGTTTTATTGATATGGATCTCCGTTATAGAGTAAACATGTAGCAGACGACAGATGTTTCTCAAGACCCATCGATGATAATATTAGCGATTTATTTGTTATCAAGGAACACGAAACCAAGCCCAGTGTTAGATTTGGTTAATACTTGTTATCAGATTGTCGCAATGTAAACATTTCAGATATCCGTTTTGCCCATGTTAACGAGAACATTTTAAAAAAATGATCTTGTCCCGAAAACCATTTTAGCTTGAATGCAGTTTTAAAATACCATAATAATTAACTTTAACAGAGTTGAACCCTACTCCTGCAGAAAACGTGATAAATATATGCTTCAAGGTAAAGGTGCTGTTATTTTTGGATCCACCACACCACTATCGAAGAGAAAATTTCGTTATGTACACTTAGGATCTCAAACGTCGTGGTGACAGTGTTAGCATTTAGATTGATTGGTATTAACATCAAGTTTAGGGTTGTGTGATTGTATTCAGGATCTAAAACAACTCTAAATTCTGATAATTTGAAATATAATGACCGCGGAAGGGAAGGAGCGTTGAACCAGTCCATTGTCACAATAACTTCCGAGTTATCATTGGACAAGGTTAAAGGGATATTCCGGACATGTTTCTTTCCGTTCGGTAACTTTCGAAGTCCCTGTTTATTGACAAATTTCTGGCTGTTCTATACCTGTTTCTATTGACGTTTTGAAGTGTCGTCAATATCATAATACGTATGGTTAGCCCAGACAAGTAAAATTCACGGATATAAAGCTAAACTGTTGAAAATTAGACCGCCGAAAACCTGGGGCATTTATCACGTGATGATTCTGAAAACGAGATCAGCGAAAAGAAGCGCGATGTCCTACCCGCGTGGCAGATACACGGTAAGTAAATTATGATAATTTTTTTTTAAATTATTACGTATCTAAATACATTTTGATATACATAAAGTTTTAATCCAATGAGTTGTCATATTTGTTTGCATTTCATTGCGCAGGCGTAAATGTGTAGTGACGGAGTCAGGACCTTGCTACCTTTGTAAATCGATCAGGCGAGTTCTGTATGGGATTTGTACAAATTAGATAACCTGTTGACTTATGTAATGGATTGGGGCGTAAGATCTCCATAAAAATATATGTTTTCAGTCTGTAAATCTCTTATAAAAGAATAGCTTACGGAGTCCTAATTTATCCGGAATATCCCTTTGATCTGTCGAATATCATATTGATTCGGAGTCTCTCGAGAATATTTCTTCTACGTGATTTAAGCTTTTGCCACGGAAACATTCTGACAAAATACTTTCCATCATCTTTGAACTCTCTGAAACTGCATAATGCACCGACAACACAGTCAGACGAAAGTATTCCACAAGTGAATTGGTCCCGTTATTTGTTATAATGATAGTTCTTAAGCGTTTGAGTACAGTATCTATACCTTATCAGTCAGTGTACATGGGTTCAATGAGGGCATTAAGTTAATATCCGTTTGTTTACATATAAGCCGATCGAAGTAGGATGGTCGGGTGATGCAATGGTAACTCGCATTTCACCTAGGAGTCCGAGGTGCAATTCTCGGAACGGTCTTGAAAAGGGAAGAGATAACATGTTCGACCACGTGGGTTTCCCCAGGTACTCTTGTTTCCTCCCACAGTAAGATTCCTCACACGCTTCAAACATGAGTATTTGATAAAAGTTAGAAAAACTTCACAATTATTGTAAGATATATAAAGTTCGATTAATGAGCGCAATTCTGCTTTGCTATCATTGGCCAGTCAGACCAGGTATAAGAAAGAGGTCACTTCCGGTACCAGAAATCAGTGCGCCTTGCAATTGGTGTCCAGAACAATTAATCACATAGATGATTAATTGTATGTAATCAGCATTAAACTGTAATCGATTAGAATAAATATGACATAATTGTCGAGAAATAGAAGAATACTTTCTTGTTAAATATTGGGACCGATTATGGACATTTGGACAGTGACCACTAGTTGGTATTATATCCAGCCAAAGTCGCCATTTTGTGACCATCAAAACTTACCTTAAGAGCATACGATTTGTTCAGTACTTTTGCAGCTCTACTTCATGACGACAATATTAAATGTTACGATGGATGTAAAGTAATTTTCCATACCATGACCTTACAATCGATTTTTGGCTGCCACAGACAATGGAAAACGCTCAAGGGTATCTAACCGTGACGAATGTAGGGACGTGGAGCGCATTTCTGCGCTAGTAACAAAAATTGCATCGCGAATTTACTGGATAATATGCATTCCACATCACACACGCGTAGTCTAAATAATAATACGTGTATATAGTATTACATTTTATTTTACAAAAAAACAGAAAGCAGTTTGTGATGACAGCAGTTTTGTCAATTATGTCGCTAATATCTAGCAAATATGCGCCACTTTATGAGGAACTCCACTGTCTCTCCGCTACAAAACATTAATTTTATTTCCCCGTTGTGTCCCAAACAAGGATTTCTGGATGCCTGTCTGGCCCATAACGAACCATTTCCTGTATTTTTGATGTCAGGCATATTCTGATACGAGAACGAGGCCAGTTCCCCACGTGTCATTACAATAGTAAAATGTCAAATGCGCGCATTAATATTGCAGAAGGCAGCATGCAAAGTTGTTGTGTAGATTTTACACGTGATGCATGCATGACAGCTCCAACTTGAAGCATCTACACAACAACGATAGTGTCAGTCAAATACAAACGCTACCGCCAAGACTTTCCGTGGTGAACAGTTTCACCATAGCGTGCCTATGCGGTTGCCTTAGTGACATGTCTTCGAAACTCTTGTCCAGTGATCTGCTTATTCGTTTCTGTCCGTAGTCTCGATGGCATTGACACTTCCGCCACTTCTTTCACCTCGGATTAATAGGGCGAACACACCAAAGGAACTAAAATAGATACAAGAACAGGACAAAATGCAGTTGTGTGATCGCACAACGTCATACGGTCTGCGATGTGCGCACGATATCTGCAAGATGTGCGCACGCTGGGAAAATTGGACGAAATAAGCTATCGCACATTTGTGCTCACGTTGTGCAGTTTTTATCGTACAATTGTGTGATTTTATCGTGGTTGATATAAATTTAGAAAAGACTGATAAATAAGTGTGGGATAGGGTTTACTTATTTTCTAAATATCTAAGAATACACCTAAGTATATTTCCTAATTAACCCGTTTATATATAGGTGTGACACTTGTAGATATATCAATTACACACTGAATAATTACATACACTCGTAATTTTTAAGTGATTTGTTTACAAAGAGCCACACGTGACCACCATTAGTGTACGGAAACACATTATATATGTTAACATTAAATGGACGTCTCTTTATGTCACAGCAATG